AGGAAAAGAACACGCCAGAAGCCCCTCACAGAGAAAGATATCCGCGAAACAGTAGTCGAGAAAGGAACTTCAGAGAAAACCGAAAGGAAGTGTACAAAGACCAGTGGGACAACCTAGACACGTGGTTGACGTCCGTCAAAAAAGCAGTTTTGTGAAACGACCCGCAGACTCGTATATTTGTGTGTATGTATGTATATGTATATATGTATATATATTTATATTTATATTTATATTATACAGTAATTGAATATATCAATAGCAGCATTTTATTATCATTAGTTATTATGCATTATCGCACCTATTGTTTGTAGCCGTTGCTATCAACATCAGCATGACGTAGCTGATGGCATCAGCATCACGTGTATAACATCTGTAGCCACTGCCATCAGCATCGGCATGGCGTAGCTGCTGGCCTCAGCATCACGTGGATATCATCCCCTCTAGGACTTGGTTGACGGTTTCCTCACGGGTTGCGATAAGGATAATGCCATGGCCATGTTCCTCCGTGTGTTTATATGTGCTGAATTAGGCCTTGTCCCTAGCGTTGACGTTTATATGGAAGGAAGGGCGTCTCACGAAAGGGGGGGGGAGGGGGCATCACAGGTTTATAGAACAGTTTGAGAGTGAATACTGGCTCGACAACATGTACATAAGGACCGAGCTGAGGACTTCTGTTAAAGGTATCATACACATTCATGTATAGAAATACATTAGTGTCCGTGTATGTTGTTGCTTACCTAAAGCAGTAGGGTATAATGGCGTTCTTAGCAAACAGTAAAATGTATTCTTTCTATAGTTGTAATATTATAAGTACTGATATAATCTTGTTAGTGAATCTAAGTCTAATTGTAACAGCAACTATGATTATTATTGTATTATTATTGTATTGATTTATGATTGATATTGTATTGATTACAGGCTTGACCGCATTCCAATAAATTAAGCAGCGAGTACGACGCAGTGGTATCAGTCACCTTGAGTTAACACAGATAATCTGAGCGCGTGAAATGGCGCTTACATTGTTAGATTTAATAAACTGTCACCATATTCAATTTTATGGGCATTAAAAATAACAAAAAAAATATGTTTCATTAAGAGAGAAATTATATGAAACTTGACAAAAAATACACAATATTTCAATAACAAGATGATTACCTTACATTTAAGAGACAATTGACATTTATATTAGAGAAAAAAAAATGTTTGTTGAACTTCAGCAATATTTATCAGCAATCCATTTTCCTTCACTAGTTGTCTTTTTTAATCTTGCAGTCCCTTTCGTATCTTCGTTATCTTTCGTTTTAAGTATCCTCATCTTGGTTTTTGGACAATTTTCTGTTTTCTATATTGTTTTCTATAATCTTCTGACACATTAGTTTATTTTTTTTTATATTCAGTTCACACATGTACAGATATCTTCCAGTTTTTTTCTTTCTTTCTTCTTTTGTAGCAGATACGATGTTCAACTGTTTTCTCCCCTGTTTATGCCGGTATCATTATCATTCTCTTTGATATTCCTAGGTGTTCGTTGCATTTCTCAAGATATTTATGTTCTTTTTTTCCTGTTTGTCTGTGTAAGCATACAGACTATTCCAGACTATTATGAAGCAACGATTCTAAGCCCCAAAATGATTGATTCCTGAAATACCGTTAATATTCACCACCTGATTAATTAACTGATTCATCAGTTATTAATACCAGATCACCTCCACCCGTTCTCTTCTTTCCTCCTTACAAATATTTTCTTCAATTCGTTTCCTGTTGTTAAACAACTTACTACAATCATGAATGCCTTTCAAAGTTTAGTCGTTTGAATATCATGTAATATGCGTGTCTTAAGAAGTCAGTTCGCAAACTTTTACTGCAGAATATACATGAAAAAAATACATACAATGTGGATTTTTCAAAATAATAAAACTGACAACGAAGAATGTAATGTAAATTACGATATACATAATGTTATATATATAACGAAGGTACCATTAGTATATTTGTACTGTTTTAACATATAGGTTATTCCAGAAGTTTCAAAAGTATCAATATTATTCTGAAAAGTATGTTTTCGACGTTCTGAAATGTTAAAAATTATGAAATCTGAAAAATTATCATTATTTTAAACCTACTTATATATGTGTGTGTGTATATATACATATATATATATATATATATATATATATATATATATATATATATATATATATATATATACATTTTTTTCATAAAATGCAGATGCATTGGATTACCACCTTGTGCATACATGATTAAATGATGATTTTGCAAGTGACAGACATTATACTCATACTTTATTAACTCACTCTTTGCAATAATTCAGTATAACTGAGAATTATACATTAGATAAATAAATACTCTTTTAATGCAGCTGTTAGTCGTAGTATGATATGGGTGTTTTGAAATACAAACAACAAATAGAAGGCAAAATTCAGTGTATGGCTGGTAACATTTTTACTAATAGAAAACTTCACAATGGATATACATTTGTACATTCGCAAAAAAACATTAATAACGTTTTTATTCTTGAGTAGATGAAACAAAAACGCTTGCTAGGAGTTGATTCTGAAATGTTGATACTTGTTGTTTCAAAGCTCGGAATCATGAAGCTTCATAATGTGTTTGAATATTGTTTCGGAGTTGATATGGCTAGGGCCTCGCTCCATGTCAACATTAGCAACGAAGACCTTGTAGGCCATTTGTAGCGTCATAATTACACTTTCCTCCGAGGAACTATCAAGAGCTGAAATATAAAAAAAATAGGTGTTTCGAAGCCAACTGTGTCTGTGTGGATCCAGCGACACCAAACAATTGGATCCACAAGAGGCAAGTAGATGTCATTCAGGAGTCAATGTGCTATATGAAAGACAAATAGGAAACTTGCATTGAAGTGAATGAATATCATGACCTAATGAAAACCATCTGACACTCGGAGGCAGCTGGGTTTAAGAAGGGGGGTGACCGTTAGTTAGTTAACACGTTGCCTACCGGGAGTCAGTTTTCATTATTTCTTTTAAACAATCCTTAACAACTTTTGTTCTGTTAACATATTACTGGTGAGGGCCATGGTGTTCCCCGAATCGGAGCCATTTTATCTCATCGAGGATAATAACCTTATTGAACAACAGCTTAGAAAAATTAGCTATTCCATGGACATGTTTAAGCTATAACCGGATCTATAGATGTGTAATTAGTGAAAAAGTTGAAAATTGTAATCCTTGGAGGGGGGGGGGGGCAGTCAGACCTAGAAGGGACAAACAGTCTTGGGGGGGGGGAGTGATTACCCCCTAGCCCCTAACCAATATCAGGCCGGACTCACCGATGTATATGTAAATATAAATATATATAAATACATACACACGCACACACAAACACACACAAACACACACACATATACATACGTATGTGTGTATATATGTATATATATATTTGATATATATACATATACATACATACATGCACACACACACACACACACATATATGTGTGCGTGTGTGTGTGTGTGTGTGCATGTATGTATGTATATGTATAAATATCTAATATATATATACATATATACATACATATGTGTATATATATGTGTGTGTGTGTGTTTATATATGTATATGTATAAATATATATATATGTGTGTGTGTGTGAGTGCTTGTATTTGTATATATGTATATATATGTGTGTGTGTGTGTGTGTGTACATATATGTTTATATGCAAATACATATATATATATATATATATATATATATATATATATTTATTTATCTTTATATATAAATACATACACTTACACACACACACACACACACACACACACACTATATACATATGTATATATATATATATATAGATAGATAGATAGATAGATAGATATGTATATATATACACATATATATACACATTAGTGTGTGTGTGTTTTAAGACACATACACACACATATGCACACACACAGAGAAAATATCTACATATTCATTGCAGCCTTTCTGTGGTTTTGCGTTCAGCCAATGTTCTGTACTGAAGAATATAATGTAGCATGCTTTTTATTCATTGAATCAGTGTTTTAGCGTTTGGTTCAGGCAAAAAAGAAACTGCCACTCCATTACTTCGATTAGCCGCTGCTAGATGGCGCAGCTACGAAAACAATTTAGAAAGGTATCAGCGAATTTGAGGAATTTTATATGATACAGCTGCCATGCATAAAATTTTAAAGCATGGAACATTTTCAAGTTTCAAGAAATATGCAGCTATAATTGATATTTGCTGTGTTGAAAGAAGGGGGAAATGCCGCCTCTCCTCCATTTCGATAAACAAAAACTTCCAGGAAATCGCATTTGAAAAATATCCCACTACAAAGTCAGTGGTAATTAATACGATTTATTTCATCAGTTGTTTGAAGAAAATGAAAGATGAAATGGCTTACGTAGTTTCCAAAATTAGACATTAATACACTTAATACACTTGTTGGTCTTTCATATTCTACCAATCACACTCTTTGTTACAGACACCCTAGGATTTTCGTTTCATTCATAGAAATACTGCTTACTCTATGCTTACATGTACTTAGATGTACAAAAGTTGGAACCAGCAAACGTAATGAAATATAATTCCGCAACTGTACATATATATATATATATATATATATATATATATATATATATATATATATATATATATACATATATATATATATATATATATATATATATATATATATATATATATATATATATATATATATATATATATATATATATATATATATATATGTATGTATGTATGTGTGTGTGTGTGTTTGTATGTATGCATGTGCATATATATATATATATATATATATATATATATATATATATATATATATATATATGTATATGTATGTATATATATATATGTATATATGTACATATATGTATATATATATACATAAATATATATATATATATATATATATATAGAGAGAGAGAGAGAGAGAGAGAGGAAAAAAAAATAAAACACCTTTTCTTTGTCAAGTGTATTGGTTCCAGATCAGGGCATCAAAATAAAGAACCGAACGCTTTCCCCCCACGCCCCTGCGCCCACAGGCCCTCACGCCCATCGCTTCACCTCAGGGAGGACTCGCAAAGAAATCGTATTCCCACACGTCCTCAGGCACTCATACACCTGACACATCTCCAAGTCATCGAGATCCTGTCCATCTGCCTTGACGAGGACGTCTCCAACCTGCAGTCGCCCGTCCTGCTCCGCCAGCGTCCCCGGCAGGATGTCGCGAATGACGACCCGGTTCCTCACATCCCGCGCGACGACGAGGCCGAGGCGCGTGTGCCATTTTCGGGACAATTCTATCGTTATCGGCGACGTTTCCCTCCGTTGACGGGCGGTGGACGGCGAGGTCTGGGGATGAGGGGGGGGGGGTAAGGATAAGTTCGATATGTGAAGCTAATCCTCCCCCAGGCTATGCCCTTGAGGGGAGCCCGGCCTGTGTCGACTAATGCCGACTCGCTAACGTGTGTCAACTGGGGCTGACGCGACTGAGTTAGTCCTTACCCGCCGTGGTGCCCAGCCGCAGCAGTAACCTCCAGGGCGTGAACTGCCGATGACAGACCGACACGTTACCATGTACTAACCCGGAGGCTGATGGGGGTGGTAGACTATGCTATCACTTTTATTGTTATAATTGTTATTATAAATATTATTATTGTTATCATTGCTATTATTCTTAGTATTGTTATTATTATTATTATTATTGTTATCAATATCCTTCTATCATGATTATCATTATTGTGTTTTTACACCTATCAATATTACTACTACTACTATTACCATTATTATTATTATTATCATTACTATTATTATTATTATTATTACTACTATTATCATTATAAATATGACTGCCATCACTGTCATTATTGGTTATCATTATCATCATTGCTACATTTTAGTATCATCATGATCGTTAATACTAGAATACTCAAAAACAAGTGTTTCTTATATGAATGTTTAATGTAATTCTGATAGATAATAAATAGACAGGGAAGTAACTAGGAAAATTATGTACATATAATAAATTGAGGATAAACATATAATAGATAGATAAAGAAGTAACTAGGAAAATAAATAATAGATAGGGAGTAACTAAGTAAATAGACAGGTAGGGGCTAGATTAGGAAAATGATGAATACGTAATAAATAGATCGGGAAGTAATTAGGAATATGATAAACAGATAATGAATAAATGCCGAAGAAATTAGAAAAATGATAGATAATGACTACATTCGGAAATATTTGCAAAAATGACAAATTAATTGAATTTCTTCTTAGCTTACTTCTCTCCTGAAATCGCCTGCGTCTAAGCGTCTCTGTCGTCTTCCTGAAAATAAATTAAGGAGAGTGTTTTGACATATATCTTTTTATGATCATTCAATAGTTCCCGATTTGTTCCCCTGTATTTTGTCTCAAGAACCTTATGCTAATGTTGTTTGTTTGTTGTTTTCATTGCCTTTGTTGCTGTTTCACAATTTAGATTACAGATTACAAATGACAGATTCTCACCTGCAATGGAGCACTCCTGATCAGCACACAAGTAGCACGGAGGTTTATCCCTGCTTTCCAAGAAGTCATGACACGTGCAATTCAGGTCACATATATCGGCCATCGTATCGGGTCAGCTAAGGTCACGATGTCACACGCGAAATCAGAGTAACAATGATCTATAAAGTTTCAAACTGCGGGCTGACGAACAACGGAATTTCAACCTGCGGATATGGAAAATATTTGTGAATTGTGAACACACACCCACAAACGCACACGCACAGAAAAACAACAACATGCAAACGTGTGTGTGTGTGTGTGTGTGTGCATTATCAACGAAAGAGAGTGGCTTAGTACAGGGTCGAGGACGAAGTGTCTGCCATGTCTCTCTCCGTCTGACAAAATGTGTCCTTTTATGCTGCGGCTCCTTTCGAGGGCGAATGCTTACGTCGCAGAAGTGTCAGAAGAGAAAACAGAGCAGGCATCTACGTCCGTCCAAGGAGGAAAACCGACTGCTATGGACAGAGTTGTGAAGCGTACCTTCCGGCCTTGCTATCTATTGTTTACACGTACTGGCCAACACACCCCGTTATGTCGCGCTGTTTTAACTTGGTGTTGAGTTGCCAAAGCCGTTCTTATATCAAGCCTTATCTGCCACGATACTATCTTATCTCTTTGAAATAATCAATAAGGAACAAGATATAGAGAATTATCTCTTTTTTCCTAGAAAATAATAGATGATGTATTTCGTTGCATAGCATTTCCTCCTATCCATTTTTGTTTTTTCCTGCAGTTTTCTACGTCCTTTTTGTCTCCTGAAATATAAGCTTATACAAACACTCACGTGGATACACACACACACACACAAACACACGCGCACACACACACACACACAATGATGATAATAACAATAATAATAATAATAATAATAATAATAATAATAATAATAATAATAATAATGATAATAACAATGATAATAATGATAATAATAATAATGATAATGATAATGTCGATAATGATGATAGTAGTAATAATAATAACAATAATAATACTGTTAATAATGATAATATTGATAATACTACTAATAATGATATTTATTATTACCTTTATTATCATTTTAATTATAATAATAATGATGATGATAATAATAATAATGATAATGATAATAATAATAATAATGATAATAATAGTAATAACAATAATAATAACAGTAATAATAATAATAATAATAATAGTAATTATAACAATAATTATGCAGAAATGATATACGTTATAACGTGAATCACAAAGTGGTAGAGGCACCATTAGATACCGTAGCAATGATTATAAGACGATGATCAGAGCAATAGCAATAGCAATTTAACACGTATTGACGTATTCCATATCTGCCCGAACAAGAAAATAGCGACGCCAAATATATCGAATCGAGAAACGTGTTTTTACCAGCACTGCCTGAAAACGTTTTGAACTTAGCGTAAACGATTCGACAATTTCTTCTCATTTCTTGCTCTCGATAGATATGTGTCATTTGTAATACCTGTATGGAGTCTGTCGTGCCTTATATTTCACAACACTGGTATTACCTGTTTGTTATCCGCCATATACCCTAAAGCACTAGTACTAGTAGTTTAGACTCTAGCCCACTTTATACTCCACGCCACTGGTATTACCTTTGTGTTCCCTGTTGCTCCTTACACTGTGGAAGCTCATGTCATGCTGCTTATATATATACATGTTTCTTGCCAGAATTTTCCCACAAAGAGAAAAAAAATATATAGATATTATTATCATTTCTTTAGCTTATAGGATATGTACATCTTTAGAAGCATTCTCATTCATTATGATTATTATCTATTTGCTTTTTATTTATTTATTTTTTCTTTATCTGCCGTTCCACTTTTCCTCGCTTGTAATTTTACAATCAATTAACAATTAGCAAATGAAAGTTAACAACTCGTCCTCCCGGTTTGTCTCACCACTCGATAGCCGTTATCTTTAAGTCTGCTCTTTTTATCTCTGTGATCAAATGATAGGTTGATCGATAGATAGATTGATTGGTTGACTGATAAATATATTTATAAATAGATAGATTGGATTAAATAGATAGATAGACAGATAGGTAAACAGAGAGGTAGATAGATATAGACAGATAGATTAGATAGATAGACAGATAGGTAAACAGAGAGGTAGATAGATATAGACAGATAGATTAGATAGATATAGACAGATAGATTAGATAGATATACAGATAGATTAGATGGATAGATAGATAGATAGACATATAGATGATTATTTATAGATAGTTTGATGGATATATAAGCAGATATATAGACAGACATATAACCAATATAGTTATAACATACATTACACACATATATAGACAGGTTCAATAGCTTCGCTCATGTGTCCAAACAGCGCGCCATAAACAGCATCTGGCAACTCTGCACAGCCTGAGGTGTCCCATTGGCGAGGAATTTCCTGATTTCATTTCAATTTCTATTATCATCTGCCTCATAGACCTTCTGGAATTTTCCAATGGCATCACGATTACTTAAGCAGCTATTGGAACGTTCCATAGTTTAGAGTTTGTGTGCGAGGGGGAGGAGGGGGGGGGGCGAGAGGCGTAAGGGTGTTTGTGTTATTGTGTTTTCCTGTGTGTGTGTGTGTGTGAGTGAGTGAGTGTATGAGTGTTGAGGGGGGGGGGGGGGTAGGTAGTGAATAAATGTGTGTGTGTGTGTGTTTGTTAGAGGGGGGGGGATTAGGTAGTGAATGAATGTGTCTCAATTTCCTATTGTATTAGTGATTTTTATTTTTCCGCAAATTTGTGCTTTGTTACTATGTACATCATTGTTATAATTACCATCAAGATTATTTGATAACCACTAACATTATTTTCATAACATCAGAATTTCATAATACGTCTCATCACCATCATTAATGTTACCGATGTGAATGTTACAAGTCACTGTGAAATAAACTACTGGATGTCATAAGAAACTATTTACTATGACGTCATCAGTCACGAGTTACTATGACGTCAACCGCGCTTCTTTTTTTTTCTTTCTTTCTTTTTTGCAACAGTCCTTTTTCTATTTTTTGGGAGGGTATATATACTTTTTCATTATACTTTTCATATACTTTTTATTTTACTATTAGCAGAGAGAGAGAGCGAGTGAGAAATAGATAAATAGATAGAGATAGATAGAGATAGATAGAGATTGAGAGAGAGAGAGAGAGAGAGAGAGAGAGAGAGAGAGAGAGAGAGAGAGAGAGAGAGAGAGAGAGAGAGAGAGAGAGCGAAAGAGAGACAGACAGATAGATAGATAGAGAGAGAGAGTGAGAAAGAGAGAGTGAAAGAGAGATAGATAGATAGAGCGAAAGAAAGAGAGAGAGACGTGGCTGAGACTTTCCTCCTGGGAATCACATCAACAGGTGCGAGGGAGCTTTGCTTCATCATTGCTCTTCTCCCTGAAG